TGTTTTCATCCAACCCAGCTGCTCAGTGATTATTTAGATGTGTTTATTTTATTTTAATAAGGCAACACGTGGCATACATCGTCGTGTTTAAAATTATGAATGTGCATCGATTTTTTTATGCTGTGATGGAAAATTCCTGGTTTATATCATACCCGATGCAAATGAGCGACTTAAAAAAAAAAAAAACATTAGAGAGGACCTGCTGCGTTTTTTTACTGTTTTGTTATGTCTGCATGTAAAAAAAATACTTTTGGAAAGAGAATTTAAGCAGCTTGCAAAGGCTGAGATGTGACTCAAGCTAGTTAACTGCTCAGCATAAACTTGTAGTCTGTGCCCATAATGACATCACTTTTTTCGCCCCATGATATGGCTTCCTCAAAATGCTTCATGCTGGTCTCCGTCTCCTCCTTTTTTTCCCAGTGCTAATTTGGTCATTAAGATGGGAAGTCACAGGGTTAACTCTGTTATTAACCCTTACAGTCTTACATAACTACAACAATACTATATAGTTCAATATATTACTCAATCATTTAGCATCTATATCAAGAAATGTAACGTATCTGTTTCAAAATCACTATCTCTTATCAATAATTAATCATACATACAGATCAGTACCAAATTGAATCAATGCCATTAAATTCCAGTATATAGATGCAATGCATCGATTTAACAAACAGAATACTAGATTTGTCTGCAGAACGTTTGCTTATAAACACAGTGTTCAAACGAGATCAGTCACTGCCAATACATTCAATACATTTTCACTAAAAACTTATTGAGTCCTCAAGACACAGCAGTCCAGATTCTGCCAGTATCCCTCTAAAACCCAGAACGGAGAATCCTGGACTGTTGTGCCTGAGGACAGGAATTGGACCCCTTGCCATAGATCACGCATTATATTAAATATTATAAGAGTATTTCTTTTTCTACCTATTCTTGTTTGTTTCCTGCCATCTGTCTTGTTTTCCGATGTTTGTTGGTACTGTCTTACTGGGGAGCCTATCTTCCCTTTTTGTCACCAAACACTGTGTTTTATTATTTTATCTTGTGTTTATTTTATAGATGCACCGGGACAATATGGATCCTACTTTTCTGATGATGCATTTATTGCTTTACCCAGGCATATGTTCCCTAGAAGGTAAAGTGGGCTTTAACCTGACCCATCATGTATAACTCATAGATCACTTACATTCGATAAGATTTACTCCTGTATGATCTAGATATTTTTCCTGCTGCAGCAATGTAAGGAGCCTGAGTGTTGCATGGTTCTATGGTTAATGATAGACTGCCGATATTTGAAATCTGAAATTAGAAGAGGAATTACATTTATCTCAGTCAGAAAATAAGCGTTAGACAGAACTAAGCAAAGCGTGCAATTGGTGATTTCACAGAAAAACCTTGATAGGGACAAAACAAGTTGCATCATGTTTGAAATCCAAAATAACAAGATATTTGACAATTCTAAACAGCACTCATACAAATCCTGTATCACTGGTACCTCCATTCATTTACTGGTACAAAGAGAACAGATTCATTTAAAGTGTTTATTATGAAAGTATGTGAAAGGATTATTTATAAGGATTCCTTTAATCTGCTGTAACAAATTTCACACAAACATCACATGGCACACTACAAGCCGGTAAACCTTGTTAACATGTCTGTTTTTCAGCCGGCCAGATGCTCCTGAAACTATAGAGCTGGAGGTCCGCACCACTTCTGCAAATGGTGTCATCCTGTGGCAGGGAATGGTGAGTCTCAGATACTACTAAACAATTCTTCATCTGCGCAGAGACATAACTACTACACCTAGATCCAGAATTATGATGCTCACTGTGATCAATTTCAGATTTCTATTCTGGTTCCTATTCTCAAGGCTTTATTCTGAGTACTTCACATAAATATAACTATGCTTCTTATAAGAGAACTTGCTAGGAACCTTTTACCCAAGCTACCAGTCACAATTTGGACACAATGTCAACCTCCATGAGTTTACTGTTGGTGGCATTGTAATCGTAGCCTTGCAAATGAAATAAAGTATTTGTTAACACTGGGTTCAAATGATAAAAAGAACCATGTGGATGAGAAAATAAAAGAGGATCCGTTTAGTGATTTCCATGTTTGCTCTGCCCTGTAATCCTCAGGGTGATTTACTATATGAGAATTATCTGGAATTCAAAGTTAATTTCAAATATTATGCCAAAATAATAGCAATGGAAAGAAAAATTTCTTATATTCTGTTTTCCATCTATCTGAAGTTTGAAATTCTCTTTGAATTCTTGTCAGTTCACACTTTAGTGAATAGCCCTGTCTGTTTAGCCAATCCGCAATCTCTGTCTGCATGTAACAATCCGCAATCTCTGTCTGCATGTAACAATCCGCAATCTATGTCTGCATGTAACAATCCGCAATCTCTGTCTGCATGTAACAATCTGCAATCTCTGTCTGCATGTCACAATCCGCAATCTCTGTCTGCATGTCACAATCCGCAATCTCTGTCTGCATGTAACAATTCGAAATCTGTCTGCATGTCACAATCCGCAATCTCTGTCTACATGTAACAATTTGCAATCTCTGTCTACATGTCATAATCTGCAATCTCTGTCTGCATGTAACAATCTGCAATCTCTGTCTACATGTAACAATCTGCAATCTCTGTCTACATGTAACAATTTGCAATCTCTGTCTACATGTCATAATCCACAATCTCTGTCTGCATGTAACAATCCGCAATCTCTGTCTGCATGTAACAATCCACAATCTGTCTACATGTAACAATCTGCAATCTCTGTCTACATGTAACAGTCTGCAATCTCTGTCTGCATGTAACAGTCTGCAATCTCTGTCTGCATGTCACAATCCGCAACCTCTGTCTGCATGTAACAATTCGAAATCTATCTGCATGTAACAATCCGCAATCTCTGTTTACATGTAACAACTTGCAATCTCTGTCTACATGTCATAATCCGCAATCTGTCTACATGTAACAATCTGCAATCTCTGTCTACATGTAACAGTCTGCAATCTCTGTCTGCATGTAACAGTCTGCAATCTCTGTCTGCATGTCACAATCCGCAGTCTCTGTCTGCATGTCACAATCCGCAGTCTCTGTCTGCATGTCACAATCCGCAATCTCTGTCTGCATGTAACAATCCGCAATCTCTGTCTACATGTAACAACTTGCAATCTCTGTCTACATGTCATAATCCGCAATCTCTGTCTGCATGTCACAATCTGCAATCTCTGTCTACATGTCATAATCCACAATCTCTGTCTGCATGTCACAATCTGCAATCTCTGTCTGCATGTAACAACTTGCAATCTCTGTCTACATGTCATAATCCACAATCTCTGTCTGCATGTAACAATCCACAATCTGTCTACATGTAACAATCTGCAATCTCTGTCTACATGTAACAGTCTGCAATCTCTGTCTGCATGTAACAGTCTGCAATCTCTGTCTGCATGTAACAGTCTGCATGTAACAGTCTGCAAGTCATAATCCACAATCTCTGTCTGCATGTAACAATCCACAATCTGTCTACATGTAACAATCTGCAATCTCTGTCTGCATGTAACAGTCTGCAATCTCTGTCTGCATGTCACCTAATGTCCTCCCCCCTGGCCCCCACCCCTGAGCGCTGGGTGGGGGCCCTAAATACTAATAAGGGGGGCCTAATGTCCTCCCCTAGGCCCCCACCCCTGAGCGGCGGGTGGGGGCCCTAAATACCAATAGGGGGGGGCAGGGGCGGACTGAGAGCCTTTGGGGCCCCCGGGCAAAATTAGATCCCAGGCCCTTTGAAGGCCAAATATATGTGCATTTTAATAAATGTTAAATATAATTCATAATACGGCATTCCTTTGGATGTGTGTATTGTGAAGACCTGTGTATCAATGCATGTTTGTATTTGAGTCTGTGTGAATGCACTTGTGCATGTCTGGATGACTACATGTGCTTTTTTGTATATAGTGTCTGTGTGAATGCATATGTGACAGGTGACAGAGTGTGTGAGGGAGAAGGTGACAGGTGGAAGAGTGTGGGAGGTTGTGACAGGTGGCAGAGTGAGGGGGTACCTGGTGGCAGAGTGAGGGAGGGAGGGGTTGAGTGGTGGCAGAGTGAGGGGGAGACACAGTGAGTGGGGGTGACTGGTGACAGAGTGAGGGAGTGGGTGACTAGTGACAGAGGGAAGGAGAGGGGGAGACTAGTGACAGAGGGAGGGAATGGGAGACTAGTGACAGAGGGAGGGAATGGGAGACTAGTGACAGAGTGAGGGAATGGGAGACTAGTGGCAGAGTGAGGGAGGGAAGGGGTGACTAGTGACAGAGTGAGGGGATGACTGGTGACAGAGTGAGGGGGGGGGTGACTGTCACCAGTCACCCCATCCCTCTCTCTGTCACTAGTTACTCCCTCCCTAACTCTGTCACTGTGTCACCCACTCCCTCACTCTGTCACTAGTCACCCCCTTACTCTGTCACTGTGTTACCCCCTCCCTGTCACTAGTCACCCCCTCCCTCACTCTGTCACTAATCACCCCCTCTCTCCCTAGTCACCCCCTTCCTCACTCTGTCACTAGTCACCCCATCCTTCTCTCTGTCACTAGTCACCCCATCCCTCTCTCTGTCACTAGTCACTCCCTCCCTAACTCTGTCACTGTGTCACCCCGTCCCTCACTCTGTCACTAGTCACCCCCTCTCTCACTATGTCACTAGTCACCCCCTCTCTCACTATGTCACTAGTCACCCCCTCCCTCACTATGTCACCCCCTTCCTCACTCTGTCACTAGTCACCCCCTCTCTCACTCTGTCACTAAAGACAGAGGGGGTGATTAGTGACAGAGTGAGGGAGGGGGTGACTAGTGACAGAGTGAGGGAGCAGGTGACACAGTGACAGAGTTAGGAGGGAGTGACTAGTGACTAGTGACAGTCACCCCTTCCCTCACTCTGTCACTAGTCACTCACTCTGTCACCTGTCACTCCCTCACTCTGTCACTAGAGTGATGGAAGGGGTGACTAGTGGCAGAGTGAGGGAGGGAAGGGGTGACTAGTGGCAGAGTGAGGGAAGGAAGGGGTGACTAGTGACAGAGTGAGGGAGGTGGTGACTGTCACTAGTCACCACCTCCCTCACTCTGTCACTAGTCACCACCTCCCTCTGTCACTACTCTCTCCCTCCTTCTGTCACTAGTCACGCCCTCCCTCACTCTGTCACATGTCATCCCCTCCCTCACTCTGTCACCAGTCATCCCCTTCCCTCACTCTGTCACCCCCTCACTCTGTCACTAGTCACCCCCTCACTCTAGTGACAGAGTGAGGGAGGGGGTGACTAGTGACAGAGTGAAGGAGGTGGTGACTGTCACTAGTCACCCCCTCCCCTCTCTCACTCTGTCACTAGTCACCCCCTCCCTCACTATGTCACTAGTCACCCCCTTCCTCACTCTGTCACTAAGGACAGAGGGGTGATTAGTGACAGAGTGAGGGAGGGGGTGACACAGTGACAGAGTTAGGAGGGAGTGATTAGTGACAGAGAGAGGGATGGGGTGACTAGTGACAGTCACCCCCTCCCTCACTTTGTCACTAGTCACCCCCTTCCCTCTCTCTGTCACTCCCTCACTCTGTCACTAGTGTGAGGGGGTTACTAGTGGCAGAGTGAGGGAAGGAAGGGGTGACTAGTGACAGAGTGAGGGAGGTGGTGACTGTTACTAGTCACCACCTCCCTCTGTCACTACTCCCTCCCTCCTTCTGTCACTACTCCCTCCCTTCTTCTGTCACTAGTCACCCCCTCCCTCACTCTGTCACCAGTCATCCCCTCCCTCACTCTGTCACCAGTCATCCCCTCCCTCACTCTGTCACCAGTCATCCCCTTCCCTCACTCTGTCACCCCCTCACTCTGTCACTAGTCACCCCCTCACTCTAGTGACAGAGTGAGGAAGGGGGTGACACAGTGACAGAGTGAGGGAGGGGGTGACTAGTGACAGAGTGAAGGAGGTGGTGACCGTCACTAGTCACCCCCTCCCTCACTCTGTCACTAGTCACCCCCTCCCTCACTGTCACTAGTCACCCCCTCCCTCTCTCTGTCACTAGTGACACCCTCCCTCACTCTCACTAGTCACCCCCTCCCTCACTGTCACTAGTCACCCCCTCCCTCTCTCTGTCACTAGTCACCCCCTCCCTCACTCTTTCACTAGAGTGAGGGGGTGACTAGTGACAGAGTGAGGGGGGTGACTAGTGACAGAGTGAGGGGGTGACAGAGTGAGGGGGTGACAGGTGACAGTGAGGGAAGGGGTGACTAGTGACAGAGGGAAGGAAGGGGTGACTAGTGACAGAGTGAGGGAGGGAGTGGGTGACCAGTGACAGAGGGAGGGGGTGACACAGTGAGGGAGGTGGTGACTAGTGACAGAGTGAGGGAGGTGGTGACTGTCACTAGTCACTAGTCACCACCTCCCTCCCTCTGTCCCTAGTCACCCCTCCCTCTGTCACTAGTCACCCCTTCCCTCCCTAACGCTGTCAACTAGTCACCACTTCCCTCCCTCACTCTGTCACTAGTCACACCCTCCCTCACTGTCACTAGAGTGAGGGGGTGACTAGTGACAGAGTGAGGGAGGTGGTGACTGTCATTAGTCACCACCTCCCTCTGTCACTACTCCATCCCTCCTTCTGTCACTAGTCACCCCCTAACTCACTCTGTCACCAGTCATCCCCTCACTCTGTCACCAGTCATCCCCTCACTCTAGTGACAGTGAGGGAGGGTGTGAGTAGTGACAGAGTGAGGGAGAGGGTGACTAGTGACAGAGAGGGGGGGTGACTGGTGACAGTGAGGGGGGGTGACTGGTGACAGTGAGGGGGGGGTACTGGTG